CAGTGGCACTGAAAGACATACAAGTAATCACAGCAGAAGCACCACCCTGTGGTGTGCTAACTTCATGGATAACTAGCCTTGTTTCAGACCTCGTGCAAATACCTGCTCTTGTAGTGGTACCCATAGCCTGCGCATGTGTAGCAGTGTGTGTTTTTGAATTGAAGCGAATTTATTCGTGCATCGGGCGTTTCAGATGAGTGATGTATTTGTTTGTGTAGTAATCGTTAGACTGCGTGTACACGTGAAAGCTGTTGACGTGCTTGTCAACTGGTATGCCGTGGTTTGTTGAATGTCTGTGCCCAGCGGAACCTGACACGACGGCAGGAGTCGCGGTGGTGTTTGATGAGGAAGATGAGGCAGAGGATGACTACGGCTATTCGGATATGGAGGCCGAGGGTGAAGACGATGACGATGAAGAGACGGAAGAACAAGAAGAGAAAGAAAGGACATATTTAGCTGCCAAGAACCTTGATGAGGAGGAGATGGACAACGAAGAGTCGGCATACTCTGTAGATGTATCGAAGATTGATCCTCACTGGCTCCAGCGCGAGCTGAACGCAGTCTTCTCTGACCCGAATCAGGCTGTAGCGACAGAGAAAGAGATCCTGTCTATTCTTCCTATCCCAGACATTCAAGAATGTGAAAACAAGTTGGTTCTGATTTTGAAATACGAAAACTTCGAACTCGCCAAAAAGATCCTCAAAAACCGATGGAAATTGTTCTACTGCATTCGGTTGGGGCAAGCGCAGACTACAGAAGAGAAGGAAGGTATTCGGGAGGAGATGAAAAATACCCAAGAAGGACAAGAAGTCCTTGAGCTGCTCGATGCACTCACCTCACGCCGCAATAAAGAAAAAGAGGTCACTCTAAATGTCCGGAAAGAGGCAGCAACGCTTGCCGCCAAGGCTCAGGTAAACAGCACTCAAACCCACTGCATACAGACAAACGACGCATCATTGGGTAGAACAAATTATACTAGTTATTCAGATTTTGCCTCTGAGCTGACCGCTTGTTGTCAGTCACCTAGTTCCCTCACCGCAGCATCTATACCCTGCTGCTCCATGAGTGTGGCGGTGCAAAACTGTTGAAAATTCTTGCTGCCCACTCTCTTCGTGAGTGGAAAATATACCCCGACGCATCTTGTTAATATATTAGTGTAGAGCACATCATGATGTTCTCTGCAGGCGCGTGACGCGTCGCTTCGAGCTGCAGAGGCCGACGACGACTCAAGTGCTTTGGGAGGAGGGGCCCATGGCACGCCGGGAGGGCCCGGGGGCCCCAGTAGCCAAGCTGCCCAGCGGAAGCCCACTGGATCTGTTGACTTGCAAAGCATTGCGTTTCAACAGGGCAGCCATTTAATGGCGAATGCAAAGGTCAAGCTACCAGATGGAACTCAGAGAATCGAGACGAAGGTCAGCTTCAATCCACGTGCTGCTCCGATACACGAGACACTGCCTGCGCACGAGTCATAGCGACACATTGGGAATCGTTAGCTACGTTCCTGGCTTATAGCGTGCAGGATGTTGACCACTGCATTAGAGCCTTTGTATGTATAGCTTGTCTTTCTCGTTCTTCTCTGCCTTAGCACAGTTTTCTCCCTTCAGAGTATGGGCTGGGAGAAGCTGAAATTTATTTAGCTGGTCTGTTTGTGGGAATTTTTCAGAGCTACGACGAAGTGGTGGTCCCGGCTTTGAAGCGGCCGGTTGAAAAGTCAGAGGGTTTG